ATATGGTATCATATGATATGGTAAATACTGTAAAAATGTGCCAGCGACAGGGATATTTTGCTCAGGACATGGTCAATGGTACAGAGTTATTCCTGCATAATAATCATTAGACTCGTGCATCCGACCGAATGGCAGGGGCATTCGGTATCGGTAATCGGAATGATTGACTTGAGTCGAATGATTGTGCTTGGATTCGAGCTAGGAGAATGATTTTCTCATTCGAATGATTAGTGTTAGTAAACATTCAAAGTCGCGGATCGCTACAATGGGGTAAGTACATACAACTGTCTTTCACTTGCTACACTTGATACAAAAGCACGATTGCATCGCTGCTGCGTCATCGATCGTTGCTTAAAATTGCGCGTGTGTTTAAAGGTAGACGATTAGCGACTGCATCGCGTTTGCATCGCGTTTGCTTCGCTGCTAAAAGTCGCAACAGCTCTTAAACTATAGAATCTCGAACTCAAATTGAGGGTGTGAAGCTGTGCGTGAAAAATCACAAGATTTGCAGGATGTCAGCTAGACGAGTCTGAATTTAAATTAAGACGAAAACCATTACAACGTATCTTTAGTTCTAGTTTTTATTAGTTTTCGAAATGTAAACAAGAGAATTGAAACTCTTTACTCTTACAAATTAGGTTTAATTACGTTCATGGATAGTACTTAAGAACCGCACACAAACATGTTTATATTTTTCTTGTCCTGTCCAATGTTCGCAAATCATTGAAGTTTGTTTGAACTGCCTCAGTGGCCGAACGGTTACCATTTAGCGAGTGGACTCTTGTCTCTGTCCGACCCTTAATCTGCTCTCGTTTGTGTGTAGTTGTGCTTGGAGAGCGTGTTTGGGGTGCCTAACACCCCACGGGATTGTTTGTGTAGACAAAATTCCGGAGACCTTAAAAAAACCTTAATATAGTATATTTTTTATTTATTACCCGTTTAAACAATACAGATGGACAAACGGTTCGTTGCAGTGACATTTATAAAACGATTACATTGGTATTTTAAAGATTATGTTGTGCTGTGGTGGTTTTCTTTTTTGTTTGTTTTACGGTACGTGTAAAATGCCACGTGCATTGACTAATTGAGACATTGCGCAGCAATTGAGAGACGAAGAAGAAGCTATGGATAGTGCTTCTGAAGATGAACAAGGTCATCATGAGGTCATCGTAAGTGACCATAACATGGGCATCAGGGCATAATGAACACGAAAACGACGTCATTCGCACACTAGCATGCTACAAGAACGACAGATGATTGAAAATGAGGATCCTGAATCAGCGTCTGGAGCAGTCTGATTACCTTCATATAAAACGATGCCACATATCGCACTGCTATTACAATAATGTTGTAACTCAAGATTCGTGAAATTCAAAATATATAATATATAATAAAATTTGATTTTCTACACGTCTATAAAACCGTCGTTAGAATATTGTAAGAAACATTTATAGATATCTACTTAACTCGAAATAGAGCCTTGAGCTGTGAGCTAGTTCTGGACAAAACAGTCCTTAATAAAAAAAAATATATTTTCCCATTTTTTTTTAAATATATTTGGTAAGTACAAAACTGTTTAGATGCCTGTAATAAACTTTAACCAATATATACATTTTAATAACATTTCAATGGAAGTGGACAATTCGGATTTCATCGATTCTGAAACAAATCACTTTTTGAGTTAATACACTATTGTAGTATTGTAGTAACAGTGCGATGTGTCCGAGAATGAAGGACCGAAAAACAAAAGCGGAACGTTCCAAATGCCAAAACCATGTGTGCAATAATCACATGATTCTAGTCTGCCAAAACTTTTGGTCAAGAAAATTCGGTTTTACAAACGGTATTGGTTTTATTATTTGTAAAATGTTTTATAAATCAGAAAGACATTATAAGTTGTGAAATATAAATATGTTCAAATATTGTTATTAATGAAACTCAGATTTTGCATGTATTTCGTATTTTATATCACGATTCTAATTTCCAGTGTTGCATTCCACACGCGACCAATAGTGTCACTTTTTTGGCGCGACTAATCCAAGGGTTAAGTAATATTCGACCAAATGGAAAGATAATGTCGGGTATGAAGCCTCCTTCGCATCATGCAACTTTTAATTTAATCGAGTATTATACTAGGTTTCATCACAATGTTTTCCTGCACCGAAAAGCTTACGGTGAATTACAAATTAAAATTTCGCACATAAATTCTGAGAAACTCACAGCTGCTTGTACGGATTAGAACCTACAGCCTCTGTCAAGATTAAACCGTTAGGCTACTACGCCTTTCACGTATACTCCCGGACATGTAATTCGAGCCACCTCGCATTTTTGTCGTAAAGGGCTAGAATAAACTAGAATAATAATAGTGCTATCATCGAAGAAAAAGTTTTCCCCCGGTTTTGCAAATCCAAATTCCCAACAAGGACTTACGGATAAAACGTTTGGTATACTAGTTTCAAAATTCCATAATAGTGTATGTAGCTTAGAAATTAATTTCATATGATAGAAATGAATTCTCAATTCACAGCTCTTATAACAATATATTAATAAAAAAAAAAATGAACAACGCCAATCCATTCGCGGGTTTCCCCCCGTGGCTATTCGATGAACATTTTCCGCGTTGTTATTTATTACAATTCGGGGGCATAAAAGTGGACAGTTAGCGGTAATGGGTTTAACCATAAAGTTTAATATAACTACTAACAGCTCCCATATTTTTTTAAGGCCCCCTTAGCCGGCAGTAGATCGGTCCTGTGAGTCTGCTTGACCGGCAGTGAGAATACCATTCCTGTACACATTGCACGACGTGTACTTCCTTACGTCCTTCCAACCTTCCGTACGTTACCTTAGGTCTCCTGGTGACAGATTTCCCGTTCATATCTTGCATATATATTTCTCCGTCTATATATTTATGGTTAGGTTAGGCTACATACTGTTATGTTGTAGGGCTACACTATTAGGTAGTTTCATAGGAACGACTCTTGAGGTTTAATGGGGTAGTTTATATTTTATCTTAACTTTACCGTAATTTCATGCACAGCAGGCGGTTGGTATTTGCTGCATGTAACACCACACACCACATTAATACATAAGATTTGTTAATAGTGACCTTCCCCCATCAACCTCTTGGTTATATGGGAAGGGAACTATAACCTGTACAAGCAAGCCCGCATATTCAGTCGGGTCCTGACCCCAGATCAGCCCGTTTGCGCGGCTAGTGCCTTGGGCATGGCTATTAACAATGGAACATGGATTCTGAAATTAATAAATGTATCGAGTTCTTAGGTTTTCGCGATTGTTACACATAGGAATTATTTTTCCGGATGCCCTCTACAGGTCCAATAGTTCGCACACATCTTTCGCCATTTTGTATGTACAAATACTTAGCTCCGCTAACCCTTTTCCACCAGAACTGCGCTAAGTGAGGCTAGGAAAATGAAGTAATTCTATTGGTGGATTTTTGCCTCGCTACCTCGCGCATCTCTGGTGGGAATTCAACCTTAACGCGGAATCCGTTTCAAAGGAAAAGCTTTAATTCCATGTAATAAGATCGAAAAAGGCGTTTTGCAGAAGACGGTCTAATTAACTGACGGGACAAACAAGTCGTGTGACTGGTGATAAGCGACTCGCCTGTCCGTAACAGTTGCAGTGTCACTCAGAGTTAAATTACAAAGAACGGCACTGTCATTGCGCCCGTCACCCTGAGACATGAGTTGACAAGTCCCATGTGCCTGTGATTTCACCAGCACCATTACCCTTCAAAACCGGAACACATTACTGCTTGGCGGCAGAAACAGGTAAGGTGGCAGTACTTCCCTGGACGAACTCTTTCACAAGGAGCTCTACTGCTATTAACAACCAGTTATGGTAGGAAGGGCGGCGTCAACATGGCTTAGTTGGCATAGCTTCTGGCATCGTTTGCTAGGAGACGTTGATTCGAATCCAGCCGGATCGAAGTGTTTTTTTCTGTGTCCGTCAGATTTTTGCGATTTAAAGCTCTGAGTGGCACTGCAAAAAAAATGTAAAATTTTTACACTTCAAAACGTCATTTTTTAAGCTACTGCTCGTTCACTACGCTGACCTCCCTGAGAAGAACGAGCAAGAAACTCTAGGGATTGCTCTTTTCAAGTGAACTTAAATGCTATAGAATACACTTTGAATCATTTTGTGTGGAATCAGACTCACGTTGTCTTTCCATACATCTTTATCTAACACGTAGTCTACAATTTTGTTTATGACTTTTCAATTAAAATACTTTAATGTAAGTTTTAAACTTAGGAAACGGTAATCTTAATATATGCTTCAGAATCTTATCAGTTCCTCATAAAAGAATCGTTTACCTTAGTTAAACGAAATCGTGGTACCATGAGTTTGGATTTACTTCTAAGGTTAATATTACGGATATCTTCTGTCTTAACGAAGTTATGTATATTTTTACGGGCATACAAAATATTTGAGTAAATGTACTGTGATGCCACAGTCATGATACAAATCTCCTTAAACTTTTCTCTGAGAGAAACCCTAGAGCCTAGACGGTACACAGAACGAATCGCTCGTTTTTGCAATACAAATATGGTTTGTGTATCTGCCGCTTTACCCCACATGAGAATCCCGTAGGACATTATACTATGGAAGTAACTAAAGTAAACTAGTCTGAAATTAGCAGCATCTAATCAAATATTTTACGGACTGAGTATGTAGCAGAGCTTAATCTGCTGGCGAAGGAAGTTATATGTGGAAACCATAGGAGTTTACCATCTAAGGTTACCCTCAAAAAGATAGCTTTATTAACAAGCTCTAACTTTTCTCCATTTATTTCCGTAATTGGGCTAGTCGATTTTACATTAGGTAATTCAAATTTAACACACTTTGTCTTCTTGGCATTGAGCAATAAATTGTTAACATTAAACCAATAAACTACCTTTGAAAGGTTATCATTAATATTGTCGTAAATGCAACGTCGCCACTCACTAAACTGTGTTTCTTTATTCTCATTCCAGGACAATGGAAGACTTTAAGCAAAGACGCAGTGCCATCGCAGAACTTGCCAAAATTGAACGCTGACGGCACCGTCATGGTCATACGCAAAAGCCGCACAATCAAGTACAAGGATGCGCGGTGAGTGCCGTCATCTTAGCCTTCGTTCACACTGCTGCACGTTTTTAACGTACTCGTTTATAAACGGGTATACAACGGGGTGGATATTCGCATGGTAGACGCGAACGGCTTTACCGCCGGAACAACAGAAGGCGTACAAACACATTTGAATAATTGTACGAAAATCGGAGAAATGGTGATGGGCCTCCGTTCCACTAAAGATATCAGTATGCGTGTCCTCCTTACAAAAGATACTTCTATACTAGACGCCGCTTGTTCGGTGATTATTCGATAAGAAACGTAGGACTTCGCACTGTGTGAAAGAGATGCATTAATACCATGGGCCACTGCACACCGAATACGTTAAAGTTCATTCGATTTACGTGACAAGTTCGTTGCATATTCGATAAACGTATAGAGCTGTGTGCGTTTTTTTGCAGGACAAATACAGTGTGAACGGTTTTACAGGGTGGAAAATTGTAATGCCACCTGGAGGGAAAATACTCTAAATACTGGAAATAGACATTTTTACTTGAAGGAAACATTCCTTTATTTTTTAAGTTAAGTTAAAAGTTAAATTTGATTTTTAACATATCCCCACAAAAAATCTAAAGAGGTGTGGTCTGGTGATCTCGTATTTACCTTAAATCCTATGCGAGTGTAAACGAGTTGAAGGCTGAGGTTCAGAATACGATTTGTAATACAATTCATCACAACACGTTATTAAAAGTTACTCAAAATTATTTCGTTAAAAGATTAAATTTGTGTATCCAAGAAAATGGAGCTCATTTCGAGCAACTAATCAGTTAGATTACCATTTTTTTCGTTTTATTAAAATATGTACGTTAAGATTTCATGTTTTTTTTTAATTTAATTAACCAATTTTGTGAGAGAGATTTTATTCTTATAATTAACCCTATCGATCGATGCAATAAAAGTGCAGGGTGCATTTTTTTCAGATTGAAGCGGGTTCGATTCCCGCGTGTTGCTAGAAATATTCGAAAGTCTATGAATGCAGTTTTATTTCTTTTAAAAAATAAAGAAAAAATTTTACTTTAAGTAAAAATTTCTATCTCCAGTATTTAGAGTACATTTCCACCCGGTATATCTAATGTATGCGTCACTAAGATTTATACTGCAAAAAAAACGTGCAGTACAATGACGTGTGAACTGAGGTTAGGCATCATTTTTGCACGCACAGTACGGTTTGGTAGGACAATGTTATTATACGTTAGCTTTGGGAACACTACGGTAAGACGAGGTAGAGCAATGGACGACATTTTTAACCGACTTGACAAAATAGAGAAGGTTCTCAATTCGATAATTATGTTACGCGATTTGTGAACAGATTTTTATGATTCTTTTTTTGTTGGAAAGTGGGTACCTCAATATTGGTCCCATTTAAATTTTAAGAAAATATTCCGCCTCTAAGGGTAGCATATTAGGGGATAAATCAGGTTTAGTGGATTTCAACCACTTTCCGACTTGGCAAACAGATGTAATTCTACAAACTTTTGAAGTTGTTTTTTTTTTATAAAAAGGAATATTATAGTATAATAGAATGATAGTTTCATATCAAACGAACTGTCACAAGTGAGGCAAAAATCAAATTCATGTAGGCTAGTCTTAGTAGTAGGTTAATTTTCGGTTTTAGTGAATATTTATATAAAAATACAAGTTGAAAAGCGTTACTTCCTTGTGGAATGTGATGTTAGTATCTATTTTATATTTGTCTGACGTATTTTTACACTAATTTACCGCACATTTCGTCATTTTTAGCTAAAATTCTTGAGCTGTTCGCGGTGCAAGTTGACCTGGAGCACTGAAGGCCCGCCCGCTCGTGTAGGCCCTTTTGGCGCGCTTCAATTTGCCTCACTTAGCGTGTGCGGACTAGGTTTCTATGCGTTATTATTCTAAGACTATAAAAAGCAAATGTTTTTATTTTATCTCGCGCTTTATGTCGCTCTCGCGCAATTCGCGTCTTGTTGTGCTAGCCCTACTGTTTGTGCTGGTCGTTTTTGTGGCTGTTCCGTGGTGGAACGAAGGTTATTGGGAACATATAACTTGCTTCGATTTAATAATTAAATCACTTTTGTTATCATGTTTAGTTGTTTGTACGATAAATTATCTGATATTTGTTTTTTTAAAGATAATTTGTTTTACGTGTTTGGTGTGATATTCATCTATCTTTCGATGACCTGGCCCAACGATTATTTCTGTGGGTGCTTGACGGGTACGGCCCGGATTTGATTGCCGGTAGAATGCATAATAATAATACTAATAACTAACTAATTCTGCCCAACATTTTGAAATGTACAATAACCCGGTTTGAACTAGGGAATTTCCTATTCAGAGCAAAGGAATTTTACCTGGAACACCCAGACCAGAACCTTTCTGAAAAGCGTTTTTTTTTTTTTTTTTTTTTTTCCCACGATTCAGAAGTTTTTGATATTTTAATCGATTTTCGTTCGATTGGACATCGTTCTCGAATCGAAGAACGCTTTCCGAGCTATTCAGATTCGGATTCGGTTACGATATAATTATCCAACCGCGTTTACGGAGTTAGTCGGTGAAATGGATTATAAGAATAACGAAAACCCTTTTATATACATTTTGAAGACTTTAAGGCCTATAATCTCAGTACAGAGTACTAAAAAAACCGACCTCAAAAATACGTGGAATTACGTCTATTTGCTAAGTTTTATTGAAATATCCCCTAGTTCGCCACTATACAGGACTTGACACTGGAGATAATAGTAATCGGTTCTCACTACTCAAAGATATTGAGAGAGAAACGTCTTGAATTGGAGAAATAGCAAAATCAACCATTAAAATTATTGCTCCTATATTAAAGTTAGGCGCTATTTATAAAAATGAATCTTCATGCGTGAACAGCCACCCTTAAAGGTGGGTGATTTTCTTCAAAAAGAAATGGGACCACTATGGAAGTACCCCCTTTCCAACAAAAAAAGAATCATGAAAATCGGTTCACAAATACCGGAGTTATCGTGTAACATAGATACAAATAAAAAAAATAAAAAAAGAACATATAGTTGAATTGATACCTTCTCCTATTTAACAAAATCCATTCTTTATTTAAAATAATAAGAGATTTCCATATTACATTCCTGCTTTGTAAACAATAGGACGTTCGGTAATTTTCATTCGATAACTGTGTTCTAAATAACGTTTGTAGCCTTTGTCGGTTGAGACGTTCGAGTAATCGTACAGGTGTGACGTCATTTCGGTTCGGTTTCGATTACGACAGTTTGACGTTCGATTCGGGTATTGTGAATAGAAATGAAAAG